AATGCTGTTATATTCCTCGTTCCTTTCTGTTCCATTATTTTTGAGTATTTTTCAAAACTCAATTCTCATGCTAGTTGATTCTTCTTTTCGTGCAGCCACAATGTTGTTAAGTATACTTCTCACTGTTATAACTGTTTTAAAATATATTCATATTATTTCGTCTTTCTTATTCAATAACCTGAATATCTTTTTGCGCAGTCGAAACGTTGCATATTTAGTGTAAGTTACTGTACTAAGGAGGTTTAAATATTGTAAAAATCATACCGCACCGTTATTTAAATATGACGTATTTGATTATGTATCAGATACAAACATGTTTTGAATTTAAAGTGCTGTTGATATCTGTTGTTCTTCATTAACATAATTTATATGGTTTAAACTCCTACCCACTATCAAAAAATTTCGTGTTTAGCAAATTTAATGAAAAAACGTAAAATACCCATAAATAACGTGTCCCTTTTTTTTACCACGTTATGTAAGTAATCTCAAAACAATTTCATGAAAGTGCTTGCTGCTGATGTAATTTTTTGTAGGTACTATTAAATAATATTCTTCCTTGCGAAATGAATTATAGTTTTTGATAACCGTGCCTCACTTAAGCGGGTTAATCACCTGGTAAATCACGTTAGGTTTGGTTTATCTACATGCGTATCCAACAGAACATTCTCCGTGGTTTTTAAGTTCGTTCTCTAAAGCCTCGAGTGTTTTCATTTAGATTTTCTGACAGCGAAAACCTTATATAGCAAGCAACTTTGCTCTTTCGCTAGCTTAAGAATTTTTGAACCGCCTTGCATGTAATAAGTGAGTGAGTTAACAGGCTGCAGAAAAGTATCAAATAGAAGGGCGGCCTACTCGGGAATTGGGAAGTCCCCTAGTTATACAAGTCGTGACCTCTTGCTGTGGACCTTTCCAAGCTTACAGGATTTGAAATTCAAAACTAAGATAGTAATCTATTAGAATCTACAGAGATAAATGAGTTCAGGATTGTAAGTGATGGAACCATAATGCAGTGTTAAAGTCTGTATCGTTTGATCAACAACTGAGAAGATGAACACAGTTTGGTAGGGTGGTCTGGAGAAATACTTAACATGAAAGATTATCAGTGCTGGTGGAGACTGTAATAAATGCAGCAATGTTAATTACTCACTGTGTTATGGTACCATTATTTGTAGTTAGTTATGTGCGTATATACACAGGGAGATAGGGCAGTGTTGTGAATCACATTTTGCTTATTTTCAATGGGGCGAACTATATTTTGTCTTTTATATTTTCACCAGTTGTATTCTGTAAAAAAAAGGATAACTTCTTGGCTATCTAACAATTGAAAAGATGGGAGTAAACATTTTAATAAAAGTTTATGGTGTATTTGTTTGTATCTAGTGTAATGTACTATTAAAACTTGAATGCTTTAAATTAATTTCGTGTTGAAAACAAAACAGTGCAATTGAAACTATCAAAATTAAAAAATTTACGCGCCCACTAGTGTAGTTAAATATTGTTATACTTAAAACGTTGTTAATATTTTGATCAACAAGCACGAATAAATGGGCATTCAGTTGATGATTAAAGTTTTCAATAAAAAAATGAAATATACATGAAAATCGCTGATATATTTTTTATAATTTGCGTAGTTGAAACTTTGTAGAATGGACGGCAACTGTCTGTTGTAGAGACACAAGTGTGGAGGTCGTCCTGAAGACGAAAGGCGGAAGACTTTCGAAGCGTCGTCCTCTACACTTGTGTCTCTACAACAGGCATTTGCCGTCCATTATACAAAGTTTCATCATGAACACTCTGCCTAACCAATGTATCAAATAATTTGTATAGTTCTTACGTTTTGTCGAAAAAGGTAACATCTTTCACGGTTTAAATGTTTTTGTATAAGAGAATTTAATTTCCAATTTGAAGTTTCATACCATAGGTTATTTATACAGTAAATTACAATACATAGTACATATAGTGTACCAAATTATTTAATTGCGGTTCAGCAGGTTGTAATGTGGGTTGGCTGATTGTCAACACAGTATACCAGTAGATGAGTGTAGTCTTTATGTGCTTAAGTTGTAGTGATAATTTTTCATTGAGTTTATAAAGTTGGTTCTGAATGATATAATGACATAAGCTCTACTTTTTTATATATTTCATTTATCCACACTTGCATATTTTGTAAAATATCGCATTGCCATCATTTCAGTTAAACATGTCCAGCAGCTAGCATATTAGATATTCCAACTGTTGCTAACCAGACGAAATTGATTCTAGATGTATATTTTTTTTTACTAAAAATACTATAAGGTATTATTATTTTTAGAACGATACCACTCTAAGCTTATAAGCTAATAGCGTGTAACACCTCTATATACAACACTGTTGAAGGGTATGTTTCTCACATGACTATTTTGTGGTCTGTGTTTAGACAGTGTTTAAGTTATAGTAATGTGCCTATTAAGTACAGATAGCAGATATTCAGAGCATGTGATACAGTTAGTAATAAAGAAACAGTAATTTATGTGTAAGCTTGTTCTGTGATGAGAATTAAAAGCACCACAGATATTTACAGTGCCCTGTATTTTAAATACGAGAGTAATGGAGATAAAAAAATATGTATAACAACACATTATTATATAATGTGCTTTAACATATAGTATGGTTTAAATGATTACTTAAGTCAAGTTATTTTTATTTGTACAGCCGTGGATATATAATTAGATATTGCAAACCATGTTATGGAAGGTAAACTATCCCTTCTCACAGGGATACCCAAACTTTTCCAGTTAACTCACGATTCGCCCAAGGTAACCAAGCAATTTTCTGGACCCCATGCTCAGTTGTGTGTGTTTCGGAGGTTAGTGTCTTTGCGCTTTGAACTAGTGGTAGGATGGTTGTAAGTTCGAAGCTAGCGTCATATGTTATATCCTTTAGCAAGACATTTTACTTCAATTATTTCAGTCTACTCACCTATTAGCTGGGAGAGTTAACCTGAGATGGACTGGCATTACCGTCAGGAGCAGTGTGTCGTCATTCTCATCATCTTGTACCAATTAAACCAGAGTTCAGCATCGGATCCTATGAGCCATCTCAGAATGGATGGGATTTTACCTTGAACTTTGACCTTGTTCAGTTGGTTATGGGGTGGAGAGGTTACTCATATAATATATCTAAGTCTAGTAATGCGTTTAGGTTTTTGTTTTGTTTATTCAAAATATTTTAGTTGTTTTGTGTAAGATTTTAATAACATTTATACGTTTTACATTGTCTTGTTTCGCGACCACATACAGTTAAAGAACCGCTGCCTGAGTAGGTCTTTATGATTTCATACCAACTACTGAACATGACCATTGAAATATTCCAAACTAGAATCTTTATGACTAGCTACTTGAAAATACAGCAGGAATATTAATATATTTTAAACAAACGTTTGTTTAATTATGAGTCGTTGAGTTTCATTTAGGTATTTAATAGCTACCTGTATACCTCAACAGTTTATTCTGACCTTACTATTTATATACAGCATATATTTCAGCATAGTGTTTAGTTCATTAGTCTATACCTGAAACAGGTAACTCACAATAACATTATATATTTTAAACTTGTATTAAGAAAACAACAGTAAACAACTTAATAAGAATGTATTTTGTTAGTAATAATTAGTATTCGTTAATTCTGGACTAACAGGCTAGCTTCTCAAGTCCTTGTACAGCTGCATCAATTTTTCAGTATTTTAAGGGTTGGGGTGGAATGAAGTAGGTGTGTAGGAAAACTTAGCACCTGTTAGTGATCGCCTCTACAAATTGGTCGTGGGCGCAGGTATCACGGATTCTTAAAGTATTGGCTCACTCATTGGTGGCCGGATCTATAAAGTAACGAGGGGCTTCGGGCAAAAATTGGGGCGGACAGAATGAATTCCATAGGAAGATGAAACTTGGGTTTCTTACCCACATCTTTAAAAGTTTGTTTATTTCGGCTTAGTAATTAATCTTTGACAAAATCAATTGATTTGGCTTTATGACCCATTTGTTTCCTTCGCAGCGAATACAAGGGGCTGATTCGTGCATGATTCATTAAATCAAAGGATAAACATCGACATCGTAATTCAAAGTACAGCTCGTTGGGAGTGGCCTGGCTTGCTTGCTACAATTTGTGCACATCCGGGACCTTTGAGATCTTTCCGCTTGCCTTCTAAAAGTGCCTCTGCTACAGTCTCCTATTCATGCTGATATATTAACGATTTGGATAAGATAGGTTATCACGATTAGCAAAACATAATGAAAACAAACGAGTATGCTGTTTTAAAACCGTAATAGATGATCTGTGTTTATTACAAACTACAATTAAATTCTATGAAAATAAATATAATTTTGTATACTACAGAAACGCCACTAGATGGCGGTCGCGAAAACGCGGCTTTTTTTCGCTCTGAATGAATATTTAAGAGTATTCTATTGTTGATTCAACTTAAAAATTAGGATTTTAAAAACAAATATTGATCGCTAGGTGTTGCTAGAGTCTGTATGGATAGTTTCTAGAAATTCTGTTGAATACAAATGATAATTAATTCTTGCAAATTATACAAAATGATTTTTCCGTAATTTATCTCAATTTGATTCATAAATTTTATTGAACTTTAATTTAATACTAATGTACATCAACAATGATATTTGATAAAAGAAAAAGAAATATTAGAATAGATATTAATTGTGCTTTGGATAAAATGTTAAATTGTAGGTAGAATGCTGCTACTTTTAGACTGTAATAGACACGTTGGTTTGTAATGGCGCTAAAATTTAATCACAATTATATACTTTTCAACATTATTCTGACTATTTTCCAAGTTGAATGCTTGCATTTTACATAGTATATCAACGACATCCAAAAAAAAAGGAAAATTGTCACATTATTATTTGTTTCAGGTCAAGATTGCCATCTCTTAAATTTTAAACCATTGAATTAAGGCAATATTAGTGTTGATATACAAATTTGTTTTCTCTTTACAATCCTAGTTGGTGCAGGTCGTAGAAAACTACAAGAATGGACACACTGGTCAACTCTCTGCAATAACCGTCTCTCTCTTGTTCCTTGGGTCATCTGCCAGAATCTTCACCTCTATTCAAGAGACGGGTGATTGGTTGATAATCTTCAACTATATCTCCGCCGCTGTTGTCAACTTCTTTTTGGTATTCCAGATGGTATTATACTGGAATGTTGTTCCACAGAAATTGAAAAAGAGCGACTAAGATGTTCCCGATTCGCTCACTACAAGATGACACCCCCTCTTGCGGGAAAGTTTGAAAATTAAAAAAAATATATGCTTGTGAAGCCTACGAAATATGATGTAGAGTGTAAATGTCATGTTATGCATTGATTTCTAATGATATATATATAGAAGCAAGGGAGTTTTAATTATTTTAATTTTATTGCTTTGTTTACGAAGCTCACAGAAGAATATTGTGTTTTTGAGAAACAAAATAAGAGAAACGGTAGTTTGATTTAAAATTTAAACCAGCGAGTGATTAAAAGTTTTTCCAACATTCCGTAGTGTCATGGAGAAGATTGTACATTAATAAAGTGAAAAGTAAAGCGAATAGAATACATCATTGATTTTAAGTTTTAGCTTTGCTGTACGTCACCGTGATAGAACAGAAGAAAGTGGGTTCATATTGTGTAGAAGAAATATGATATTAAATATAAAACTATTGTATACCAGAAATTAGAAGGATGTGAAAGGGTTTTCTCGGTACTAACAGAGAATGAACTATAATTAAAACATTTTAATGAGGATGCAATAAACCAAATTCATTTATTTCACTTACCACACGGAGTTTCAATATTTAATTTTAAGATCAGTTATTTGACAAAAGCAAAAAATGCATGAGATCATCTAAATAGATGTCAATAGATATATATATAATCCAAAACTTCAGAATGTGTGTATGAGGCTTGGAGCAGTGTGTAGTCTTTAGTTTCAATTAAGAGCTCATTCAATTTTCTTTTGTGCTACTACTTACCTAATCTTGCAGACCCCAGAAATATAATTTCATTTTAACGATAAATTAACCTGTTTTCATCAGTAGAGTTTGTTTTGTTTGTTTTGAAGTTCGCGCAAAGCTACACGAGGGCTATCTGCGCTAGCCGTCCCTAATTTAGCAGTGTAAGACTAGAGGGAAGGCAGCTAGTCATCACCACCCACTGCCAGCTC